GGGGAGGATCTACTTCGCGGGTGGTGGCGGAGATTTGTAGTAGTAAAGTGGTGGAGGTGGCGACTTGTACTTATACACTGGCGAAGGATCATACTTGGGAGGAGGTGGAGACTTGTATTCGTACTTTGGTGGCGGTGGGGAGGTGTACTTGTACACTGGGGATGGATCGTATTTCGGTGGTGGTGGAGACTTGTATTCGTACTTTGGTGGCGGTGGGGAGGTGTACTTGTACACCGGGGATGGATCGTACTTCGGTGGTGGAGGGGATTTGTATTCGTACTTTGGTGGCGGTGGGGACTTGTATTGGTAGACAGGAGATGGATCATACTTGGGCGGAGGTGGAGGGGACTTGTATTCGTACTTGGGTGGAGGGGGACTCTTGTACTGGTAGACTGGAGATGGATCGTACTTTGGTGGAGGTGGAGGCGATTTATATTCGTACTTTGGTGGAGGCGGGCTCTTGTACTGGTATACGGGAGATGGATCATACTTCGGTGGAGGTGGGGATTTGTATTCATACTTAGGTGGGGGCGGACTCTTGTACTCGTAAACAGGCGACGGATCGTATTTCACAGGGGGTGGAGGGGATTTGTATTCGTACTTTGGTGGGGGCGGGGACTTGTACTCATACACCGGTGAAGGATCGTACTTGGGAGGAGGTGGAGACTTGTACTCGTACTTTGGCGGGGGCGGCGACTTGTACTCATACACCGGTGAAGGGTCGTACTTAGGAGGAGGTGGAGACTTGTACTCGTATTTTGGTGGTGGTGGTGACTTATACTCATACACAGGTGATGGATCATACTTTGGTGGTGGTGGCGGGGACTTATATTCGTATTTCGGCGGAGGGGGGGATTTGTACTCGTACACCGGTGAAGGATCATACTTGGGGGGTGGAGGCGATTTGTACTCGTACACTGGTGATGGATCATACTTGAGTGGTGGAGGTGGAGATTTGTACTCATACTTCGGTGGTGGAGGCGATTTGTACTCATACACTGGTGATGGATCATACTTCAGGGGTGGAGGTGGAGATTTGTACTCGTACTTGGGGGGTGGAGGCGATTTGTACTCGTACACTGGTGATGGATCATACTTGGGGGGTGGAGGCGATTTGTACTCATACACAGGTGATGGATCATACTCTGGAGGTGGAGGAGACTTGTATTCGTATTTTGGTGGAGGAGGAGACTTGTAGTCGGGGGATGGAGGGTCAACGTCATATGCATTTGCTACTAGTACCATTAGAAGCAGTGGTACGAGGCCGAGGCCTCGTACTTGAGAGGTCCTCATGGTTGGATCTCCTCCGGCTCCAGTCAGTGCTTTCGAGTTCCACCTGAAGAGAAAAGTGCGAAGGGATTTCAGAGAAGATCGAATGAAGCACGCCCTGGTGGAGAAGAAGACCGAAAGAGCAACATACCACAAAGTTCCTGGATTAGATTGCTGCTGCTACTTCTATTCCCCCCCTGTGGCTCTTGGGGACTTCTCGAGCCCCTGGAAACCTGGTCTGCCTTGCCAACATGGCGAGCAGCGCCATTTATACTCGCCAAAGATCGTGGTGGTGGCATGGGTTTAAACTAGTCCGCTCGCTTTGGAAAACGCACCCCGCTCTGAATGATTCAAATCTTTGCGGCTGCCAGCCAGTCCGGAACGAGCATGTTTCACGTAAGTATCATAGTTTTCTGGCTTTGCGATTTCTCTTCTCGTTACTTTCGTCCTTTTTTTCTCCTTGCAGGAACGAGGCCAGACTGTCGAGAGAGAAAGAAAGAGAGGAAACGAGCCTCCGTGTTTTCTCACGATGGCTCTGCCTTGACTTTGAGATATCAAGTGGGGCACACGCGGATCAACGACTAAGTAGCGAAAACACGGCCAGCCATGGCAACATAGCCGGGAACGCAATCGTGTCCCTCATGGTTCTCAAAGTCACAGTCACTGTGGGTCACATAGTCACATGAGATCATGGCGCCAGTACCGAGTTTTTTTACTAAACTTTGTGCGCGCGGCCAGAATCCACAAGTTAACTGGCCAAAGGGATCATGGGCGAATTTAAAGCTGGGAAGCAGGCTCGAAAGCAGCAAAGCTCAAGAGTTGAAAACTTTACTCTTTTGAAATGGATTCGATTTGTTTTTTTGTGTGTTTGTTTGATCGAGAATCATCCAAGCCAAAAGTCTTCCAGCAGAGGAATCGGGTTTAGTGCCTTGTGTTCCGCTACTGTGATCAGCCATTTAATGGATTGTCTTCTCCTGGATCTTTGCACACGTTTTCACTGGTCTTGTAAGTGGAAGAGATTTTTTACACTGTAACTTGCATTTCACTCGTTTACAGATCTAATTGTTATCATCAAAGAGATGCGAAGGAGCTGACTTGCGGCCGTGAATGCTCCCATGTGTTCTTGGAAGTCGAGGGAAAGGTTTTGTGTGTCATGTTTGTGGCCCTTTATAAGTCGTGAGCCAAACAATTAAAATAAAATACAATAAAGGATATGTTTTTAAAGGGAATTAAATTTACATTCTGTTATTTATAAAATTTGAGTTTTATTCTTTTAATGTATTAAAGGGGAATAACTTCTATCAAATTATTATAAGTTCTGATAACTTATAAATTGATATCAATAAATTCTTTTTCTTTTTTTATAATTGCATCGCCATGTTTAAGATTCTGCATTACACAATAACCATTTTAATTTAATGCCAAGAGCATGATTATAAAAGACTTGTAATAGTTAATCTTTGCAATAAAGCAAATATATAAAATAAAATACATTATTGCCGTTTAAATTTTTTATAAAGTATCAATTATATTTAAAATGAAAATTCTAAAAAATGAAAAATTTTATACTAATAACTTCAAATTTTTTAGACAAACATTTACAAGTCATGTTGCTTATGATGTATGTTTGCAAGCAAGACATAAGCAGCCGCATTTCCAGAATCCATGCGAAGGAGATTACTTGCGGCCCATGTACCATGGCAAAGGTTTCCATATGTTCTGCAAGCACCAAGGAAACAAACCCACTCAAGGGGGCCAATCTCAAATGGCATGCTGTCGATGAGCTCCAGTGCGTCTTGCAAATACGTTGCTCTCGCAAGCAAGTCCAGGATGCAGCAGTAGTGCTGCTTTACGGGGATCAGTCCGTAGTCCACAAACATCGATCCAAAGCAGCTCCTTGCACGCAAAATTATCCCCAAGTGACTGCAAGAAAACAATACCATTGCGAAGCATATCTCGTCTGGTGTCTCCACAGTGGTCATGGAGTTAAACACACATATTACATCGCCAAAACAACCGGCTTGCCAGTAAGACGAAACTAGAGCGCTCCACGAGATGCAGCTGTGGCTAGGCATGGTATCAAAGACCATTACGGAATTTCGCAGATGCCCCTTTTGGGCATATGCCAGCACTAGACAGTTCCACGTTACAAGGCTTCGAACGGGCATCTTATCAAAGATAAACCTTGCGTTCTCCAAATCACCGTCCTGCGTGTGGGCCCAGATCATACAGTTGCAAGACACAACGCTCCTCTCCGGCATATTTCTAAACAAACGCTTGGCATCATCAAGATAGCCTGACCCGGTATATGCTGCGAGAAGGGCATTCCATGTCACCACGTCACGCTGCGACATTGTGTCGAATACATCCTTTGCTTCCTCCAGCTGACGCGCTTGTCCGTACATCGCAACCAATGCCGTGCACGAGAATCGGTCAAGTTCAGGGACAGCATCGTAAAGATGCTTAGCCTCCGCAAGGTGCCCCGCTTGGGCATATGCCGCCAGCATGGAGTTCCACGTCACCATGTTTGCCTCTGGCATGTGGCTGAAACACCAGTTGCATTCTTCCACGTGGCCTTCCCGGGCAAATGCTGCCAGCATGGCATTACAGCAGACTAAAGTCGTCTGTGGCATCTCGCTGTAGATACTCTTTGCTTCGTCGAGGTAGCCTCCGTGGGAATATCCAACAAGCATCGAGGTCCAGGAAAAGGTATCTCGCACGGGCATTGTGTCAAACACATATCTCGCCTCCTCGAGATGCCCGTGACGAGAATATGCAAAAAGCATCGTGTTCCACAGAACAATATTCCTCTGTGGCACTGAATCGAACAGACCCTTTGCCTCCTCCAAATACCCATGCTGGGAATATGCCGACATCATAACGCCCCACGACACGAGATTCCGCAGTGGCATGATGTCGAACGCCCACTTGGCATCTGCAAGATACCCGTTCTGGGAATATGCGACCTGCATGAGCACCCACGAGAAAGAATCTCTAATCCCGTCCATGGAATCAAACACATTGCGCGCGTCTCCAGCACTCCCACACTTGCCATACATCTCAATGAGCTTGTTACACAAGAAAACATCTCTGCAGACGTTTGTTAGGGAAACAGTAACTTGGGAGTGAATTTCCCTAGCCTTGGCAAGAGAGCTGCAGGCCTGTATAAGCTCCAAGGATTCATCTCTTTGCAACACTGGCATGTAAAGCTATCCTTGCATTATTATCATTCTCTTCAAAGCCATGGACCCATGCAAGAAAAGTTGGCTGTCTTTTGAAATAATTTGAGCTGCTTTTTCATGCCAGGCATATCTTTGGGGAAGAGTAGTGCTCTGGATTCACTGCAAAAGCCCAGACTGCTAAAGTATATAATGCTGACATATTCTCTTTGTTTCCAATCTCAAAAATATTGTTCGGTCTCCTCCTCGACGACTGGCGTTGACCTGTTTTGAGCAAAGCTTGTTGTCGTCGTGTCGCCTATGAAAGATAGTCAGTCGGTGTTTTCGAGTTGAAATTCTATGGTTATGGTTTCACCTGTGTCCGTAGTGTATTTGCGTTTGGAGCTCTCTTCTACATCTGCAGGGCCTTTGCAAGGTCCATGGTTCTCGTCTTCTGAAGAAGCTCGAGGCGGGGTTTGCTGGGGCTTCCTCCGCCTACGGTTGTGATCCGCCAGCCTCTTTCGGCAACTCCTCTTGCCCTCGTCAAACTCCAACAGTGCATGAAACCTGTAGTAGCATTCACTCATATAGGAGACGAGTGGCAGAACAAGTTACAAAACCAACTTCAAGTAAAAGTATAGAAACGATTATGAACCTGCTGCATTGCTGGCAAAAGCGCTGGGTCTCGCCGTTGGCAGCAGTGACCATGGAGGCCTTGGAATGCATCTCACAGACTTTGTGCCTCCTGTGGTAGTGCTTGGCGGTGCTTAGATCCGCTCTACAGCCCAGAGCTTGGCATAGAGGACCAGGCATTGGCTGTGATACCACTGAAGAAGAAGCGAGTAACTCCAGGTGACCATGATCTACTGGCCTCGGTCGCTTGCTTGCCAGCAGCGCCACCACTGGCCAATAATCGTCTTCCGTGGAGAAGTACGTTCTCCTACCCAAATCCAGTCCAATCCTCATGCCGGATTGGTTGATGGGCTGCTCCGGTGATCTTTTCAAGTGCTCCTGGTGCTGCTCGTGGTGTTGGAGCTGATGTGCTTCTAGCAAGCTACTTGGAGCAGCGACCATGGACGAGTTATAGTGATGAGTACTTAGCTGAGAAGCGCTGCCATTGAAATAGACCCAGCCGCTTGACGATGGCGATGGTGTTTTGGTGAGATTATAATCGTTAGACGCAGGAGCACAAGGATTCAGGAAATGCGAAGACGAGTTGAGCAAAAGAGTGCCATTCAAGCTATCTGTGTTATCGCTTGTGTGATTGATTAGCCAGGTCAAGTCTCCTTCTTGCATTTGCTGCTGCTGCTGTTGTTGAAACCTCAGAGTGGTGATCATATTCCCCTGGTAGATCATGTGGTTCTCTTTTTTCTTGGAAAGAACCTTTTCAATGGTTGAAACTTACAGCTCTTCCTTGCTGAGAAATTTGTCTGGAACGTGCTCAATAGCATTGTAAGGATGGAAGAAAAAGATCTAAGGTACTATAGTCTATCTATGTCTCTCAAGATCCAAGACTCTCTTTGTACTCTATAAGGAAGAGACACACACGGTTGTCCGTAATCCATTGCTGCTCTCTTAATCAATCAATGCAGGAAGCCATGGAAGTTGCAGGCACAGCAACCGTTGATGCAGGATAGATTCTAATGCCTAGCTTTGGCAACGTTGCACTCTGCTAGCCAGCAGATGACCCAGATTTGAATTTTCTAAAATATCTATGGACCATAACATATAATTATAGTGTATGGAGGGATGGTCTAAACTTAATTTCAATTTCCTTTGTAAGACTTTTAATTGATTGTGTTGACTTGAGTTGAAGAAAATGAAGGTTTTAATGAACTTTAAAATATTGAAATATGTAAATATCTGAGCTAAAATTTTCTATTAGATTAAGTCATTTAAAAAAGATAAAGTTTATAAAAACCTATCTTTTTTAAAGCTATATCATTTTATTGTTATAGTTTGATTTGACTAAATATTTTAACCATTTTTATAGTTGTCATATAGTTATATACTATTCCTTCATTCAATTTTTTTTAAAGGTTTTTTGAAGCAAGGAAAATAAAAGATATGTGAATAAGAGTTATAATGCAAAAGAATATGAAAATATTAATTTCATTTCACTATCTCTATATTACACTCCTAGTCCTTATTACCTATCTGGGAATGTGAAAACTACTCTCACAATGGATAAAAATGTTCTTATTACTTTTGAAATAATAATTCAAAGTAAGAGAAATAAAAAAGTGAACAACACAGTAGAAAGCACAAAGAAATCTCCTTTATAAAACTTTCTATGACATTTATAATTCATATATTAATTCATTTCAAAAACTTTATTGCTTGCCTATATTGCAATCCTCCTATATAAAAAGACTAAGGTATATTTTTGCAGTGAATCCCCAATAAAAGTTTTTGGGAGTTGTTTGTGAATAATGATAAAAGAAATCAAAATCTTTTGAAAGACTCAAAAGTAATATTACATCAAATAATCAACTTTATTTACATTTCTATAACACACCTTATCTATCTCCCCTTAAGCCAATTGGAAAAGGCGCAATTGCTTGATGAGAGAGCCCTTAATGGCTATTTTATCCCTATTTACCCCTCAAGGTTCTAAGGATCCATAGTGACAGTATATCTAAATCTTTGTGAGACACAAAATCCCTATGCCCCAAAGTGGAGCCGGAAGGGCGCCACGTGGTAGTGGCTGAAGCAAAAGCCAAACGAGCGTAACACGTTTGGACTGAAAGCTTCGTCTTGAAAGGTTGAGAGCAAGAGTGGAACTCCCAACAAAGTGCTCGAGGAGCAGGCACGAGGCAACCAATAAGCAAGGCTCCAAAAAGGGACCCAAAAAGGACCAACACATGACACGTGGAAGTGTCCAAGATGGACCGAGACGGAGTCCGAGATGGAGTTCGAGATGGACCGAGATGGAGTCCGAGATGGAGTCCGAGGTGGACCGAGATGGAGTCCGAGATGGAGTCCGAGATGGACCCGAGATGGAGTCCGAGAAGGACCAAGACAGAGTCCGAGAAGGACCGAGACAGAGTCCGAGATGGAGTCCGAGATGGACCCAAGATGGAATCCGAGATGGAGTCCGAGGTCGAGACCGAGACCGGGACCGAGACTGAGATCGAGACCGAGACTGAGACCGAGACCGAAATCGGGACCGAGACTGAGACCGAGGCTGAGGCCGAGTCCGAGTCCGAGTTCGAGTTTGAGATGGTGAAAGCCCAAAGCGTTCGTCTCCCAAACCCTGGGGGGTTTGGTGAGCTCCAAAAGTATAGTAAGGGGGAGGACTGTAGTGGAGCCAGTTTGGCCAGGAAAGGCCAGTTTGGCCTAGGAAGGCTGTACCCAGTGTTGGGTGATGAGCTGCCCACTGGGAAGTCCAAGACTAGAGTGAACACGGACCGACAAGCGGGGTAGCTTGGTGAAGTGTTCAAGAGCTGGCTCTAGTTCCCCCGGGAGATCGACTGGCCGATGCTCCCAGTCCAAGTGTGGGTGGCACTACCTACTTGGATACCAGGCGTGGCTCAACAGAACCTCGCTCTAAGCCCATGGCTAGAGCACCCAAAGGCGGAAGACAGGGAGAGTACCTATGAGGCTTGCGTAAGGCTACGGTGTTCCGAAGTGTTGTCCCAAAGACCTAGACTGTGGAAAGGAAGAGGAGTAGTCCTCTGGTGTAGTGACTAAGGATACAATCGTGGGGTGAGGAAGTCCTAGAAAACCGTGGGACTTAGTGGTCGGGCCTGTGGGCCTTGATCCAGTGGCAGTGTTGGCGAACACGGCCAAGGATAGAAAGGGACTTGGTGGGGACCAGAAAGGAGATATTGAGGAAGGCTATTCCCCATGTCTGCGGGCATCCTAAGGATGCTAAGGAGTGGATCCGGGATGACCACTCATGGACGGATGGCTCAGTATTGGAGAGACGGGATTGCAATGCAGGTGGTGTTGGACCACTGATGTGACCAAGGTGATTGGGCATGGCCTAGCGTAATAGGCTGGCATGTTGGTGGTGTCTTGGGGTGTCGGTCATGGGACCAGACACGTGGAGCACTTGGACCAAGTGCAAAGGTTGAGTGGCATGGATGCCTTTTTCGGGGCTAGCAAGCCCTAAGTCCTGAGTGGGACTTATGGAGGTTGTGAATGAGACTCCTCCAAGTGGTCGGAGGTGCGGTTAAGTGACTAAAGTAAAATGGAAAAAATTAATCGCTTACAATTTGGTATTGGAACTGTTCCTTAGTCTGACTCTTATTGGTGGCCAAATATATCACCACTTGTATTGGAATTGGAAAGTCCTATGTATGGACCTATCCTTGAGGAGTAGCATGTCGAGAGGACATGACTCTCCACTCGAGTTCATGCGTGAACTTGTGCACGATGTGGTGGATGGAAGAGGGCCAGTAAGGGAACGACTTTGGGATCTTGGGAATAGCATGAGGGTTTCCTTAGAGAGTTGAGGATGTGATTTAGATGAGCGTTTGACACAGCGAACGAGCTAAAGTAGTTGTGATAAACAACTATAGTTGGGATCACAGGAAAGATGCAAACTCCAAGACGATAGTGGAGTCACAAGATTACCCTCATGAAGTTGAGGTTGGTGCTCATGAATTTGAGACCAGAAGTAATGATTGCGAGAGGTTAAATACAGAAAAGGACACAAGTCCTTGAAATGGGTCGGAGCTACCTCTAATAAATGCTAGAACAACCCAAGGAGTTGGGGGTGTATTTAGAGGATGAGTTGGTATTCTCATCACATGGACAAGTGGTCCTAAGGGGCGAAAGGTTACCCCTAGAGAACAAATCAAGTGTCGGAGTAACACTTGCAAAAGATGGTCCTTGTGAGTAGGACATGAATACAAGGAGTTGTATTCCAGTGAGTTAGCACTTCAAAAGTAGGACTTCATAGATCGTCGGATTAACAAAGTCCAAAAGGTTGAATGACTCCAATAGAGTCAAGGAATAATCCTAAGGGCTTGAGGAAAGCATTTGGACTGAGGTGTGTGGTGCCCCACGAAGGATGGGGAGGATCTTGAGATCCAAGC